ATTTCGACTCGATATTTTCCAATGATATCTCCAGTTCTTTAATTGAAATGTGCATTGCAGAGCTATCACAGCCAAGAGGCTGCTTGTTGAAATTTGAAATGGCATTATGTCTTGTGTAGATCGATCTAAACTATTATCAACCAGACCTCTTCAGTTTTGGTACATCCTCTATATTTTTCAAGAGTGAAAATGTTGTTTGAAATTGTTATCTTATTGTGATAATAACACAACGAAATTTTATCCTTTTATTTTCAAATCTGGATAGCTTTAAATGCATACAAACAAGAACCAGACAGATAATTGCACAGATTAGACACAGCCAGCCAGAACTTACAGATATATGTCAATGCTGTAAGAACAGTTCAGAATACAATAATTCACATTGCTGATACAGCAGTCTTTCATTTGCAAACGCATAACATTAAAATGATCATTCATTCAAGCATTTTGTACAAAGATGTTATTTTATATTTGTTATCCAACACTTTCAAACACTAGTTTAACAAAGACACTGGAAAACAACTGCAATAGTTGGGTTTTCATCAATTGACATAGTTGACAGCTGCAGATATTTTGTTGGTGTAATAGGGCTTGAATTCATTCTTCAGTTGTCTATATTAGTTTATTTCATAATCAGATCAAAAATGGCCGACTGACAGCCAACTTGTTTTTTGAAAATGTGGTATCATAGACATGCTTTATAGTACATACATTATACACCTCTGTATCATTTTCATTTATATCAAGTATTTGTCATAAAAGTTATAATAATTTGATTAAAGATGGTTGTCGAGCAGCCATTACATCACAGTACATAATCCAACTCAATGTAGTGGGGCAGTCTCTGACCAATTCAATCCAATTCCGTTCCATCTCACCTATATGACCGCCCTGTCCCCTACTACTGAAACACCCATTCTACATAAGATCACATGGATCATCCAACAACAAGTATTTTTTAATATTCTGTGGTATTTCCAGACTCTCCACGACATGACAAAATAATTTCCCGTTGTAACATCTTAATTTATATCGGCATAGATGTTGCAGCGACCGTGGCTTGTTAGCTGCTTGAAAAAATGATTTGTAGAATTCAAAATACAATTCATCTGTCTCATCACCATCATCTCCATGGTGATTATTCGTAGTATTGGAGATATAGGAGATATAATTACAGTTAGAGTACGCATTGACTACCAAACCAATCAACTTGATCCTTTGTGGTGACCTGTCAATGAGCAAAGCAAAATCTTCTTGTGAGAATTTACTAAAACAAGCTCCATGATTAATGAGTTTCCTTACATATTTTGCCGGGTCAACTCGTACTTGATCAAAATTGTTATCAAGTTTATGAAAAGTATCCTGAAATCGCAGTGCTAAATCAAGCACTGTGTAACCATGTAGATCAATAACGTTAAGATCTGGAATGAGATTAATTAATAATTCCACACATGATGTTTTTCCAGATGCAAACGCCATATGCAATGCTGTACTGTTTGTAGAGTTGAATATATTGATGTAACCTCCATGACGTTGAAGAAGCTCTAAAGCTCTTACGTTACCTTGACCAGCTGCAAGAAAAGCTGGTGTTTCATTTCTACGATTACGTGCATTCGTATTTGCATGGTTTTCCAACAAAGTTTGGACGCAATCAAAATGGTTACCAAAGCTGTTAGAAACTGCATAGTGAAGAGGGGTTGCAAGTGTTGCGATATCTGCATTATGAACCGAAGCCCCATGGCTGACAAGCAGCTTCACAAATTCACTATCGCCAGTAAGAGCACAAAGACAAAGAAGAGGCATCCCTGTTGTTGTTCTTTCATCAGGGTTGGCACCGTGTTGCAGAAGTAACTTCAGTGCAGGCAGGTCAGCATTTTTATAAACATAATACAAAAGACAGGTATTATCAGACTGATTGGCTTCAGCACCGTTCTCAAGTAAGATTTTCATACAGTCGTAGCTGGCATTTTCCGCACTGACTTGGAGAGCTGATAATGTGGTGATATTATGGAGAGCCATGTTCGTAGAATCAATGTAATTTCTTGAGAAGTCATCCACAGTGAAATCAACATTAGGCGAGAATCCAGCTAGAAGCACCTGATTAAGAAGTTCTGATCTGTCAGCTTGGATAATCTGATAATAAAGCCTTTGTGTACTCTGCTTTACATCAGAAGGCAGTGATTTCCAAATCTGATGAACTTGTTTGAAATATTGGAAAAAACTGTCAGAGTTGCATACTTCTGAATCCATCTCTATGGCAACAGTATTCTGAAACAAATAGTTAGAATGAATGAATTTTATTTCACCAAAAAAAGAACCACATTAAATATATAAATACAAATGATAAAAGCCGAGTATCATTGAATACTAATAATACATTAATTCTTTGGTGGGGATTCAGATATAATTCAATAAAACTACAGTAGTCCCCTCTCAAATCTTCAAATAAAGAAAAAAATATTACAAATCAAATATTGATGAGAAAGTGCTTTCAATTTGTTTTGAATATGTCTGTTAGTGAGGGTTTTAAATGCACCAGGCAATAAGTTCCTATGTTTTGTTTCACTGTGTTATGGTTGAGTGTACAATTCAGTTTTGGAGTGTAATAATTCAAGCTACAGGCTAAACGTGATAATTATGGGACTATGGATCTAAATATTTATTTAAATTATGTATGAAATAGTTAATATTAAGATCAAAGACAAATGAACAGATTTGTAATTTGAAAAAGTGAAAAAATGTCTAGTATTTTTTTAGTTTTTGGAACAGAGGAGCAGCATGGGAATATGAATCAGAGAAAGTGATGAGGTATACTTTTTTTTCTTTGAGAGATATATTGGTTAAATTAGAGTTGCATATGTATTACACAAGATTTCTAGGTAATATGTGGAAGAATGAAGGAGTTTTATATAAGAATGTGTTTAGATACAAAATGGCATAGTTGTAAAATTAGGTCTATTTTTGGTGCAATAACTTTCCATGTCATATTCTAGCCAATAGAGATACCAAATTAATTATTAACTGAGTGCACGCCCTCTATTGGTGACCAATTAATATTGAGGCTGCAAAGAATTGGTAGAATGCAGTACACAATCACAGTCCACTTGGTATACAACCATACTCCCTCCAGTACACAACAGCAACATTGTGACATCAGTGTAGTGCTGATCAGTAAGTCACATTTCTTCTCGCTTTGACAAAAATGTAAACAAAACACAACATACATGTATGTTGTCTTGAACAGAAATTTTGGAAACTAAATAAAATATACTATCATATTATTATACATCTGTCACCGTAATGCCATAAGTTACAGCGTGTCGTAATGTTGCGGTATTTTACAGGGTATTTTCATCCTACCATATTAGAAAATGCAAATTACAAACATGGCTGCCACCAGGGTTTGACTGGACTCCTCACAAAGAAGTTCGCTAATTCTGTTCTAAACTTTTTTGAATTTTTGATTTTATCATTCCCATGGTGTATCCTTGAGGATACCTAAAAGTATGCACTCAGACAGTACACCTTTGTATTGACCTCCGCTGCACGTCAGTCGATACTTCCGCTGTACTGTCTTCGTTCATCCTTTGAGGTATTCTCGTAATAACCTCATATTATACTATACTATGGCCTATAGTAATGAAGAATTGGTAAAAAAAACATTAACAACTAACAATCAAGACAAAAATTTGTACAATTTGCAAGATATTTTGATGAAATGAGAAGATTTTGGACACCCCCCACCACCACCACCACCACCACCATCATCCCAAAGGTTGTATTAAATTGATAAACACCCCAAATTAATTTCCCTGAATAATGAAAGCTCTATCACCAAAGGTAATTATGCAAACCCTCGCTCCTGAGTTTGGACTATTACAGTTGTGAAAGTGATTTCGAATCGCCAGTGAGGCCAAATTGCTCAATAAGGGAAGGCCAATTAACCGACGCACTGTGATTGCACTGCGAGTGTGCGTGATAATACTTCAATGTTAAGACTGTGTTAACTAAATATATTGACCTCTACGACACGAATCAATCAAATACTGATCACTGTAAGAAAATATTTACCTTGACGTTTCAAACGCAACTACTTGTACTATCCATACATCGTCATCGTGATATGGTATGGGGCAGGAAATATCTTGCCTCGCTTTCGAGTCACAAGAATGCCGACCTTCTTGGGTAATTTATATTGTGATAAAAACCATTTAGCATTATTATGGTCTTCACAACAGAATTAATGTTTGTTTTGTCAAAATGTTTTGCTAAAATGACGAATCAATGTTTAGAACAAACGAGGCACTGTATGGTCCATGTTTGTTCAAGCCGGTCGTCAATGGCGCCCTCAACATAAAATGCTATATTTTACTTCGTTTTTAAAGTGTCATCACAGGCGGCGCGATTTGAGTCCTAATGTGTGTGTACTTGGGGAGGTGGTTTTAACTTAATTTAAGATTGTAACAGTGAAAACACACTTGACAAACATTGGACTACTGTATTCTTCTATATCTAAGCTTCCATATGATATATAAGTTATAGTAGCATGTTTAATAACTTTTAGAGAATGTCTGAATCACAGATAAATGTTTAACTCATTTCACCAATTGTTATATAACGAACATAAAAGAAAGTTGTTTTTTATTATAAAATAATGGTAAATCTTGGTGGATGTTCTTTCAGAGCAAATTGGATGGAAAAGTTTGCTCTTTTTAGTTTCACGGTGAAATGGAATCGAGAATAAACCTAACCGATTATATTTTCCTTTGTCATTAGAAACCCATCTGCGAAGATTGCCACTCGATAGGAGTAATGAAATGTTCATGGCATCCTTTATTTGTAAATTTATATTATTTCTAGTATGCAGAAATGTACATTTAGTGCAAAATATAAATGTATCGATAAAATAAGAAACGTAATTCTCTGCCATACAACGTTACCAACGTCCTGTGATTTGAATGTGAATTGTCGGAATGATAAATAAAAACAGAATAGCGATGCTGACTGTCGGGTAAACCCTTGAAGCGGGGAAGTCATCACCTGCGCATGCGTCAGATGGCCATAGCGTGTCATTGTTGACAAACAAGCGTCTACACGTGAGCCTTTGCGTTTTTAGCATGTGGTGTTATCGTCGCGTGGGACTCAATTCCCGCGCGTGCGCAGGCGACGCCCCCCCCCGCTTTAAATAAACATTCGTACTGCATATGAACTATTGTATTCACTTATATCTAAGCTTTCAGATGATGTATAAGTAGTTATAGTAGAATGCTTAGTAACTTTTAGAAAATGTCTGGTTTAAAGTTTAACACGTTTTACCCATGCTGCTCAACGAGCGCAATACATTTACATATAATAGACGAACAGCTTGAGTGTCCAAACTAATTACGAAAAATTCGTTGACCATCGTTAAAAGTCAGTCATCTGGAAACGTTTATGTAACAAATAAAATGGATACTATTAGGCCGCATAAATAGGCAACTTTTTTCCGAACACCAATGTAGTTTTTACAATCAGTTTCATTCCTAGTTGATACATTTGGTGTGATGCAACGTTTTGCGATTATATTTAAGTCACTGTTACATGTAATATAAAAATATGTATACAAATAATCCTTTCAATGTGCAAGCTACAATACACTGTTTTTCATATTATATATTTTTGCATACTGCGCTTCTTGTAGTAATTTAGTGTACGTCACTTCCGGCATCACCATTCTTTGACATTGTGAATTATGCTTTGCTGACTCCTTTAGTTTGTATGTTTTAATTCGGACCCCATTCTCTGCCCATACCCCTTCACCATTAACTGTCACCTCCATGATACATAAACTCCAATAATCACGGATTCGTGTTCGTAAAATGTCAACCTCGGCGGCCATTTTGTTTTTACCAAACTGTTCTACTTTGTTCCAAAAAGTTTTATTGAAGTGTTGATAGAGTAAATAGTCCCCTCTGTTCCAATCATGGATAGATTGTGTAATACCAGAAGCTTGTGAAGATTGCATCCGTTGATTCAGCGCAAAATAAACTATATCATCCAAATCCCAGCATAACAGTCGACCAAGTAAAATGAGTGACTCATCAAAATACTCGCATATCATAACCAAAGAATAGGTGTCTTCAATCAGCTTGATTGCTTCACTGATATTCTCGTCATACTCCCAGCTGTCAGCACCGAATCCCATATCAAATAGAAATGGATTTTTTAGTGGAAACAATACCACATTTGCATCGTAATAGTATTCTGGTGATGATATGAAATCTTTCAGTGGATCTCTAGATGTGATTCCTAGATGTCTACCAGCAGCATAATATGAAAATAGGGATTCGAACTGTATGCCGGGATTACGCAATATGGTAATATAAACTGCATCACGTGACATTAATTGACCAATGGCTGCAATAGAACAATATAACTCTCGGCGTCAATAGACTTGTAGACAAGATCACAGTCCCTTTATCATAGTTATAGAGAGACAGAGGGACTATGGCAAGATAGATTACACAATGTACAGTAATGTTACAGATAGACTAGACGAGGTTTGGGACAATAAAATCAATAAGTCAAAATTGTATAGATATAAAAAAGATAGCACAACAGTACATCACTAATCTATATTGGATATTGTGCATCAGTACATCACTAATCTATATTGGATATTGTACATCAGTATATCACTAATCTATATTGGATATTGTACACCAGTATATCACTAATCTATATTGGATATTGTACACCAGTATATCGCTAGTCTATATTGGATATTGTACACCAGTATATCGCCAATCTATATTG